AGGAAATAAAATCATAATAATAATAATAATGATGATTGTCTGAAATATACAGATGGACGAATAGTGCGAAATACAAGAGGTCGACGTCCCACTTCTAGCATTTTCCTGAAGAGGCAGGGCCGACAAAACAGCAGGCTTGTTCAACTTCAAAAGATCGCCTAAGAGCGCATAGACCTCTCCGGTCTGGCTTTCAGAGTTTTACTTTTTTAGACCGATTGTGACCCAATGTTATAGGATACAATCTGTCCTGCTATTTACCGATATCTGGGTGTGGTGAGAGGAGAGGATACAAATATACTTATTTGGAAATAACATGCAAGCTAATGTAATAATATTAATAAAAATAATCGTTTGAATTTTGAAATCGCAAGGCTTAAGAAGTTGAAGAGAAGTTATAATCATACCACTTTTCATTGGTACACTTGGTACGGTTACTAATAATAGATTTTAGATAAAGGAAATTGTTCAATAGAACTGTTACAGAAAGAACGCTTCTTAAAAATGGCAGGAATAATCCGAAAATTGATGAACACTTAGAGTGAGAGGAAAATTGCATGTTACGTAAGGTTAATGGGTGTGGCTCGCAATCTATATATTAATTACAAGATATTAAGAACTTACCTGAGATAATAATAATAATAATAATAATAATAATAAGCTTCTCATTGCTACCACATGCATCATCCCAAAGCTGGTGTTGATCGTCTGTATGTGCCCAGATCCGAAGGCGGCAGAGGATTAGTTCAACTAGAACTGTCCTACAAAACTACAAACAATTGGCCTCAAAAAGATTTTGGAAATACAGAAGACTGAATGATGGTATGTATGTCAAGGAACATGAAAGTAGTAAGCGTCTTTCTCCGTAATAAAAGTAAGAATAACAAATTCAAAATGGAGTTTCAAATGGGCGTAGAGATGCAAGTACAGCACAATACACCGGCTGAAACTGCAAAATACTTAAAAAAGACAGCAAATACGAATGCAACCGACCAGATACAGAAGCGATGTCAAGATAAACCGCTTCATGGCCAATACTCTGCTCGTACCAAACAAGCTGACGTAGACAAAATCCGTACCCATCAGTGTCTATGTAGTGCAGGGTTGAAAGCTGAAACTGAAGGTTTTATCCTTGTTGCACAGGACCAATGCTTGTTAACTAGGAATTATCAAGCACATATACTAAAATATTGTTAGCCCAAAATGCAGATTCTGTGATAAATATCCAAAACGATTGATCATCTTGTATCGGGTTGCACGATATTGGTACCCGCGGAATATAAAACACGGCATGACAGAGTGGGCCAATATGGAAAATTTGCAACTTCTACGGGAAGGAAACTGAAAGAAAATGGTATGAACACCAACCAGACCCGTTTACGGAGATAGGACCTGTTACAATTCTATGGGACTATACAATACACACTGACACAACAATCAAAGCCAACCGCCCAGATATTGTTATTAAAAACCACAAACAAAAAAGTGTCTCCTTGTTGATATGGCAGTCCCTGCTGACTGCAATGTATCTTTGAAGATATTAAAAAAGCTGTCAAAATACAAGGACCTTGAAATAGAAATGTCAAAAATGTGGTACATGAGAACATCAACAATCCCTGTTGTAGTTGGAGCCCTAGGATTGGTTGGAAAAGATTCCAGTAGACTAATTGATGGGATTCCTGGAAGCCCATGCCTAAAAGAAATACAAAAATTGTTCTGACAAGTACAGCCCACATTTTACGAAGGGCTTTATCTATATAAAATATTTTTTTTTTTTTTTTTTTGTCAGTTTTGTCATGATGCCATTTCTAACCTTAGGTCCCTGGGCGGGACCCGGAAAGAAATGTGTAAACGCCAGAAATCAAAGAAAATAAAAACAATAATAATAATAATAATAATAATAATAATAATAAGAAGAAGAAGAAGAAGAAGAAGGAGAAGAAGAAGAAGAATTTTAAATTTGATCATGAAAAAATTTAACAAAAATCATTTAGAATATTGCAATGTGTTTAAGAATCATGAATCTTTTTATTGAAAACTCGATTCGATGGTAACGCAAAACAAGCATGAATAATTAAAGACCTGTTGCTGGATGTTGTCGTGCGTTCCTTCATATTTTTAGTCGTCCTTACAAAATGTCTAAAATTTGAAAAACATTTTTTGATTTGATATGCACAACTATGACAACTTAACTAAAAAAAAAGTTACTATTAACAACTAGCAGAGCCAACCTTGTAAAAATGTTACCATTCAAACGAAAGTGTGTTTTGCTAAAATAAAAGTAATTTTTGTTGTATAATTAAAATATTAGAATTTACTAATATATTCAAAATAAAGACTTATTATGCATATTTAAGGCTTATATTCTCGTTCGCCAAAAGAAAAGTGCCAAAGTGTAAAAAAAAACAGTTTAACAATGTAGTCTACGCTATATAGTGAAGAAAAAAGCCGAGTTAATGTGGTTTATAATATCAGGTTGAAAACTGTTTTTATTACGATCAAGAAAAGTTAAGCAATATCGAAAAATAACAGAACCTAGATGAGTGACTGCTTGGGAATACCAGGTGTTTGTAATCTTGTATGTACGAATGGTTTAAGTGATGACGGCTCTGAATTAGAAATCGGAGGTTCGAGTTCTAAATTCAGTCAAATTGGTTACATTTACTTACGCGTACATGAGGTGTAAGTTTAAAAAAAACCAAAGAAACAATAATTCTGTGAGTACGATGAGTCGAAATATCACATCAGAAAACGGAAGTTTATTTTAATATTAAATTTAATAAACACGAATTACGTTCCAGTGTGTGCTTCCATCATTAAAAAGTTCTGAAATAAAGAATTTCTTGAACCATATATGTTTTTATTTTCTTTCGAAGATAGAAGTTTTGAAAATATACTTGAAATGACAAAAGTACGCAGGTGCAAGCTTTAAGATAGCATAATTCAACTGAGAATACAAGGTTTGCGCATAGTATCCTTTTATAGTCCCAGTAAACAGAAATAACTCTCTCAAAGAGGAGAGTAACAAAACAAGGGGAGACCATCTCGATTATTCATAACAGTGCTTTTGGCTTGATTTTGAAATTCTACTTTGAATTTAGCTATTGGAAGATTCTATTAAATTGGATTGAAAAAAATAAGTCAAAATATTTATTGTTATTACGGCATTTTGCAAAGGAAGGAAAGAGAAGCGAAAAGAAAGAAGAAAACGTTAGAATATAATTCATTAGTAAATTACAAATAAAGAAAATTTCACAATTCAATTCATAATTTTATTGTGTTCTTTCAATCACCGAGAAAAAGAGACAGTTACTCTACTCTGATCTTCTTTGACCGAATCTTTTATTCTTCATTAATACATCCATAAATATGATAATTATGTATTCAATGAATGCGTTGACCAAATAAAAAATGATTCTCTCTTTGGGGATTTAAAAGTCGTATATCACTGACTAGGTTATGGAAGTGTCATTGTTACCACAAAGTCGACAATCCCATCGAGACATTGAGATTAAACTGGTTGGTGACAGGTGAGTTTTCAAAGTCGTTGTTTTCGCACTTGTTCTGACTGTCACTAGTAATGTAGCATGCAATTAATGGCTAAAAAAGACAAGAAAACAATGACAAAAATAAAAAAATGTTTAAATACCAGAAGAAACAATATTGTTTGGCAGTCATCAAAAATTTAGATTTTGATTCTATTTTTAATTTTGATTTTCTTATTTTTTTTCTTTGACTGAATTTCGTTTCTTTCGTCAAAATTCATTTTTTTTGTATTCTTGCTTTCTTTGTTACTTACCCGTTTTGTTTCTATTCTTCGATTTTTCTTTACTTCCATCTTTCTTTATTTCTTCATATTCTTTCCTTTTTTCTGATTTTATTTATCTACTTTCTTTCTCTCGTTCTTTCCTTCTTTCTTTCCAATTGTCTTTCTTTCTTTTTTCTTCTTTATTTCCAATTTTCTTTCTTTCTTTTTTTTCTTTCTTTCTTTCTCCCTGGTTCTTTTTCTATCCATCTTTCTTTCTTCCGTCCTGGGTATGACGATAAACTCAGTCCGGCAGCAATGCCTCAGATCGACAGATTTTGAAGACCGTGGGACCATTTCTTAATTTCTACTGTTCCCAGGTCCGTAGCACCTGTTAGTGCCCCAGCTATGGGAAAATAGTTAACTCCAAACTTCGGTCAAAACCCTATGAAAGTATAAAAAAAAATTCATAGTAAAAAAATTACCAGCAATACATTTTTGTAAAACAGAAAATTACCAGCAATATATTTTTCTCAAAGAAATTACTAATACTCTCAAGAAAATCAAATTTCAGCATTACATGACCCATAAGGAGTTGATATGCCGCTAAACAAACATCTTTCTTTCTTTCCAATTTTGTTTTTATTCAACTATTCTTCTTCTCGTTATGTATTCGTGGATGTGCGGGTGGTGTAATAATGGCTCGGAATTAGAAATCGGAGAGCAGAGTTCCAATTCCAGTCGAGTTTGTTATATTCACTTACGCACAAAGTATCCTTGGGAAATGTAGAATACACCTCTCCTCCCCCACCTATGGATTAATTAGTATGACATGTATCTGCAAATCATTATGCTCTCCAAAAAATTCTTACAATCTAAAAAGTATATTCTGGATTTAAATAAGCTGAAAACGTTTGGTAAGCCATAAAAAATAAATCAAGGAATCAATCATTTCTTTCTTTCAACTTGATTCCTTCCCTTATTCATTCTGTCTTTATTGCAATATTTCATTGTTTTTGATATTCTTTACTGACCTCAATCGGCGCTCACTTCATTCGTTGTTCTCGTTCACTTCTACCCATTGGTCGCTCATTTTTCATTGTCCTTTTTCCCTTCATTGCTTGTCCTTTGTCTCGACGATTTTGTCCCCTCCAATCTTGAGCTGAAAAACATTCCAATAACATCTCACTATGAGAATTTTTACGAAAACATTTCCTCGCGTCCGATCCGCTTTTTGAAACTATTTTCTGGCGACTGCATGAAGACGAACGCATATTCTCTGGTCTTAATTCTTCAACTCTCTCTCTCTCTCTCTCTCTTTTTATTTTTTCCTGAAATCTTTTTCTCTTTCTTCAAATATCGCTTTTTAATATGTAGAAGAGAAAATAATTTTCTCTCTTTCATTAACTCTTCATCTCTCCCTCCCTCGTCATCTCTCTCCCTCTTCATTCCTCTCTCTTCCTCTCTTCATAAATTTTTCTTTTTTCTCTCTTCATCTCTCTCATCCCTCTTCATTAATTTGATATTTTTTGTTCAGAAAATTCTTTCTCAATTCTGGAAATGCTTCATCTGTCAGGTTTCATCTCTCTGTACTCATCTACCTCTTTTCCTCTCTTCATCTCTCTTCATCTATTTTTCTTCATTTCTCTCTCTTACTTCATCTCTTCATCTTTCCCTCCATCCTCATCTCTCTTTTTCTTTATCTTTCTCTCTCTACATCTCTCTCTTCATCTCTCTCTCTTCATCTTTTTTCCTTTTTTCTCTTTTTCTTTTTCTCATGAATTTCTTTCATCTCTCTATCTTTCAAGAATCTCTCTTTCTTAATCTCCTTAATCTCTTTCTTCCTCTTCTATCTCTCTCTTCATTTCTTTTTTCTTCATCTCTCTTTTTTTCTTCATCTTTCTCTCTCTTCATCTTTCTCTTTCTGCATCTCTTCATTTCTCCCTCCCTCTTCATCTCTCTTTTTTTCATCTTTTTCTCTCTCTTCATCTCTCTCTCTTCATCTCTCTCTTCATCTCTCTATCTTTCTTCATCTCTCTATCTTTCTTCATCTCTTCATCTCTTTTCCCTCTAATTTATTTTTTTCTTCATTTTTCTACTTTCTTCATTCATCTCTATCTTCTTCAAAATTTTTATTTTTTTCTCTTCTTCTCTCTTCTTCTTTATCTTCTTTTCATCTTTTTCTTTTTTTTCTTTCTTCATCTTCTTCATCTTCCTTCTTCTCTTCATCTTTTTTTCTTCATCTTTCTCTCTCTCTTCATCTCTCTCTTCATCTCTCTTTCTTCATCTCTCTCTTTCTTCGTCTCTTCATCTCTTCCTCCCTCTTCATCTCTTTTTTCTTCATCTTTCTCTCTCTCTTCATCTCTCTCTCTTAATCTCTCTCTTTTGTCTCTCTTCATCTCTCTTCATTCGAAAAAATTTTTTCAGAAAAATTTTTCCTCTTTCTTCATCTCTTTTTTTTCTTCAAAATCTCTCTCTTCATCTTTCTCTTCATCTTTCTCTGTTTTGTCTCTCTTCATCTCTCTTCATCTCTCTATTTTTTCCTCATTCTTTTCTTTTATAAAAATCATCTCTCTCTCTATCTTCTTTTTCTTTTTTCTTCGCCTTCATTTTATTTTCAATATTTTGAACAAAGCAGACGTTATTTATTTTCAATGTTTTATAATGCTTTCGTTTTTATCTCTTGTCTTCTCCCACCGTTACGTCTTTTGAAGTGAGCTACATGTTTTTGTTTACCCATTTACATTAACAAGTTTCAGGAACGCTTCTTCAAGCTGCCACTCTAGACACGATTCCATTCATTATTTCTTACAAAACACTTGTTTAGAAATATTTATTTCACTCAGACAGATTTTTCTACGTAGAGAACTGGAATGTTAATGATAAAATTAACCGTTTCCACTCTTGAAATATTTGGCATTCATTCATCGAAAGATTTGCGCTACTGCCAGTTGAAATTAGTAAAATATTTTTTTTCTTTAAACTCTTTGTCAGGAAATTAGACTTGCACTAAAAGTTAAAGCTATTCCTAGTACTGATAGGAGTTTCCTTCCTAACGTTTTGTTGATGGTAGTCGGGAAGGCTACGTTATAATTTTTCGTTCTACTTAAATGTGATATGTGTTTTTGTTGCTGTTGCCATTTGAAGCGATCAGCTGATATGGTTTTTGTCATAAGGTATAGCGTCAGACTACGAAGTCTTCTTAAAAAAAACTAAAGAATTCAATCGCTTAAAGCCACTTGGATCTGAGAAAACGGTTGATTGTTTAGATATTTTTGACCGAGTTGAACGTCGGGTATATTTTGCCCATGAGAAAATAACTCTAACAAAATTATTTAAGAACGTTTGATTTTAAGAACATTTTATTTTTAGGTTACTATTTTCTTTTCTTTTCTTTTTTTTTTCTTTTTTTGTTTGTATTTTATTTCTGAAAGTAAACAAAAAATTGTCTCATGGAAGATATACTGCAATTCACTTGGCTATTGTTGTAGACATTACGGCAATACCTCCGAGTCTAGCTGAGTCGTGATACAGTCTTTGTCGAACTCTCTACTTTGTCAGAGAGGAACCCGGACGAAGCTTTGCCGAAGGGCAAGGTTTCATTCGGGGAGGTAGACAGGGCCTGAACTCGTCTAGGCGGGTTCAAAGGCTATATTTTTGGCTGAGCATACGGGCTCGGAGATACCCACGTTAAACCGGCCTTGTGCCACATTCAATCCTCGTGGGTGGATCGATAAATACTGACATTTCGGCAATATCTTAATGTTTATCTTCGAAACTAAACAACCAAAATGTCTCATGGAGTGTATACTAAAATTTCCACGGTTCACTTGGCTTGTGTTGCAAACATAAGGACAGGATTTAAGGTGATGCTTCATTTAACTTAAAGGACAGACATTATTTGTCGATCGCGGCTAGAAACAAACTTTTGTAAAAATTGTTTACTCACATCGAAGAGCCGGAAAACTGTTCTCTGCTAATGATTATTTTAAATAAAAGTTCTTCTTCTTCTATGTACTGCGTCCCTACACGACATTGGCGATCATGGCTCTCCATAATTTCCTATCATTCGCAGCTCTTAATAAATTTTGTCTCCGTGTTATATTTCTTAAACTCTATTCCATCTAGTTAATCTAACTAGTTAGGTTAGGCTCTTCTCTGTCCCACTTGTCTTCAATCTGTCCTGTGAGTATCAAATTCTCCAAACCCTCTCTCCTCAATATGCGCTCTAGAAATTTCAACAGTCTCTTCCTGATAAGTATAAGTGTCCTTTTGTTTTCATTTTCTCTAAAAGTTCGTTGTTACTCACACGTTCTGTCGATGATATTCTTAGAATTCTTCTGTAGAGCCATATTTCTGTTGCTTCATGTCTTTTCTTCATCTGTGCGAAGACTGGTCAGTATTCACTGCCTTATATGCATAAAATTTAAGTACTATTTCTTTCTTTCCAACGAAATTTTTCTGTTTCTTAATACTTGCTTAGCTTTTGGAAGGCGTCTTTCGCTATCGCAATACGTCTTCGGATTTTTAGTGTATATACACTTTCCGTTTCTGTTGAATTCTTCTTATCAGATATTTTAATTGTTGCACTTATTTTATTTTCGTATCTCCGATTTTTAATTTGCATGTTGGCCTCATCCCTTTGGCGGATTGTTTCTTACAATTGAAATTTAGTCCATTTTTTTTTCTCTTGCTTTCCTTCATTATCTCCTGTAGAAGTTCTTGTAGTTTCATTTTTCTATTTGCTATCGATCCTGTGTCATCTACATATCTTGTGTTGTTAAGATTCTGACAGTCAATAATGAATCCAGTCTTGTCATTTTCTCAGGATCGCCTCATTGTATATACTGAATACGTCCGGCGAGAAGACACATCCTTGTCTTACGCCCTATTCTTATCTATTTACTGAATTCATTTTCTATCCGTATGCATGCAGTTTGCTGTCAGTATAGCATCTGGATTAATCTAATCTCTCTCCAATTATGCCATGGTTAAATATTAGTACCAACAGTGCTTTGTTACAGTATAATGCTTCCTAGGAAGTCTCTCTGAGCCTTGGTTGGCAATCCATTTAGTGATGGTGTCACGATAAAAACACCCTTGATAGCCCTAGCGAAGCATCAAAAATTAAGCTACTTGACAAGATTATGAACTACACCAATCAAAGTATTGGTGAGTTCGATCTCGGCTGAGGCGGCAAGATGATGATGATGCTTCCTAAATTCATCTAAAGGACATTATCTTTACTGTCACAAGTTACTCTCTTAGCGGTGAATCTATTAATAATTGCTTTACGTCTCTTCTTCAGTTGTGAGGACCTTTATAATTTGCATATTTGGCTGACCCTTTTGCTAACAACCATGTAACCTGTCTACGCTTTCCTTCACTATATTCTGTAGTAGTTTTAGGAAAGCTTCCTTTCTGTGTTGGCGACCATCACTGTGTCATCTGCATATAAAATAGCCATAAAATACATTCCCGTCATTTACAACGAACGTTAATTCCCAGGCAGATAAATATGTACGAATGTCTCTCCTATTTTGATTCCGTTGGCTAATAACGTCAGTTACGTTTGCTGGTGGTGTTGCGATAGAAGATGAACATTTTTGCGATAATAAAATCAATAATTTTATATTTAAATTTTTTTTTTTTTTTTTTTTTAAGCATTTCACCCCAAGCAAGGCGGGAAGCCACTAGGACGCAAGGGGTTACAGAAAATAGCAAGATCAGATAGGAGTGATAGAAGAAAGGATGAGGGTAGTGGATAGATTAAGGCAACTGGAGATGTCGATTGACATTACACTTGAATAGCTGGAGATTATAGCTCACAGGGAAACAGGAGAAGGGAAGGGAGTTCCACAGGCGAGAGGTGCGAGACATGAAGCTATTAGAGTAGAAGAGACGGCTACATTTAGGAGTTTCGACAGTGAAGGGGTGAGAGCGGGATGCCAGCCTCGTAGGGCGCTGGAACTCATGACGTCTGGGAACCAGCGAATGCAGCTCCTCGGAGCAATTTCCATGAAAGTATTTGTAGAACAGACAGAGGGAGGCGACGGCGCGTCTGTGAGAAAGTGACTGTAGACGAGACGCCAGGGCAGGGCCAACCATATTGCATATCCGCCTCTGGAGCCTATCAAGAACCCTGAGGCAAACAGAAGGGGCGCCAGACCATATATGGCAGCAATACTCCATGCAAGGGCGAATTGTTGGATTTGTATATCTGGAGGATCGACTCGGGGAGAAAAAATTTCCTGGCGCGGCTCAGGGAGCCAACTTTTCTTGACGCAGTGGACGAGGCAATTGACTCAATGTATTTATTCCATCTCAGGTCAGCAGTCAACGTGAGACCGAGAAGCCGCAGAGAGTTGCTCTCGAGAAGTTGAGCGTCAGACATTCTAATGGAGGGAAGGGAAGGATCTCTGTGGTGATTAATAGAGAGCAGTTTTGTCTTCGAAGCGTTGAAGTTGACCAGCCAATTCATGCCCCAGTTCACAATCGATTGGAGGTCCTTTTCGAGACGCACGGCAAGGTGAGTTTTGTCAGCGAGACTAGATTTGTTTTTGAGGCAGGAATAAATTGTGGTGTCATCCGCGTAGATGCCAACTTGGGAAGTTATGGCGTCAGGAAGGTCATTTATGTAGATAAGGAATAGAGTGGGGCCTAGGATGGAGCCTTGAGGAACACCTGCGTTCGTGGGATAGGAACTGGAGGAGAATCCGTTGTGAACGACCTTCAATTCACGGTTTGACAGGAATGATTGTATTACGTTATATAATCGACCCGTAATGCCATAACCCTGGAGCTTGCGAAGAAGGCCGGCATGCCAAACCCTATCAAATGCTTTGGAGATGTCTAGTGCCACGGCTCGGGCTTCCATGTTATTTTGGAGAGCTCGGTAGACTGTTTCAGTGATGGCTGTGAGCACATCGGCTGTAGATCGGGCAAAGCGGAAACCATATTGCTTGTCTGAGAGCAGATTATGGGATGTGAGGTGGTTAACCACCTCGGTATTGATTAGAGCTTCGAAGACTTTGCCGAAGAGGGAAGGAGACTGATAGGACGGTAGTTGAAGGGTCAGAGGGGTCGCCGGAGTTCTTGAAGACAGGAACGATCGAAGAGGACTTCCAGCAGTCAGGAAAACAAGATTCCTTGAGGCAGTAGTTGTATAGTTTCGAAAGGGCGGGCGCCAGTTCAGGCGCGCATTTCTTCAAGACAATGGCTGGTATTCCGTCACCACCACTAGCTTTGTTGGGATCTAAATTGGAGATAACGCCCAGTACCAAAGATGGGGTTATGTTTAACCCACTCAATATGGCCTCAGTTCTAAGAGGGAAGTCGGGTATGCGTACACCGGAAGAGTCGAGCGTCGAGTTGAATGAAAATTTCCGAGCAAAGCATTCAGCCTTGTCGGTAGAGTAGGTCAGGACTTCGAACTGGTTGAATAAAGGAGGTATAGAGGGTTTGCAATTGTTCAATACACTCTTGCAGAGACGCCAATAATCTTTGGAGCCAAATTTGCGAGATGCAATACGTTCCTTCATTCGAGCCGCAAATAGTGACTTAGCATCATTGAGGACACGCTTACATTCGTTACGGGCGGCAGCAAAGAGATGTCTATTGCAGTCAGACATGTCGCTACGGTATAGGTGGAAGTAGTGGTTCCTATAGGCGATGGCGGCTGAGCAAGATAACCAGGGAGAGGAGCGCGACTT